GGCGGGGGGGGGGGGGGAGGAAATCTAAGAAGATATTTTTATTTGAAAAGCTCCCATATTAAAAAACAACCACCACCACTACAAGCCACCGGCTCCATAATATGTTAGTCTTCCCTAATCGGGAGTGGATTTTTTTTTTCCTGCCAAGAGTTGTATTCCTGCAGGATTAATCTTGGGGGGTGGGGGTGTGCATATTCCATGCCAAAGAGAAAAATTAGCAGTCAGTGCAACTGGAACAAAACCTGGATCAGGTTCCCCGTTCTCTCTTTCTTCCCACAAGGGGCTGCAGGAAAGGGACAGGGAACTTGTTCCAGGCATCTAAAATAATTAATTGCAAAGCTTTTAGAATTAGGCTGAACTCTGCATGAATTTAGTTGATGACTGCATGAGCCTTTGGCAACAGGTAACCCAGTCCCCTGCAGAGCTCCAATGCCCATCAGTCCCCGCTGGTATGGCCAAAGGCTAGGGACTGTGGGAAAGCAGACCAAAATCTCTGCAGGGGACCAGGTAACTGCCCTGGTCCACCCTTGCCCAAAGTGCTTCCCTGACATTCAGACTCAAAAATGGGGATATAGTTCTCTGAAACATGGACTAACTATCCCTGGGTCCTCTGTAAATGTTGCTATCTGGTACTACAGGTAGTCCTCATTTAGTGACTGCCTCATTTAACAACTGTTTGCAGTTATAACAGTGATGAAAAAGTAACATTACAAACAATCTTTGCATTTTCAATCTTTGCAGGTCTGTAAAGCAAAGGAAAGCTGAAGTAAGATTGTAAAACTGCTTCACTTAACAGCCAAGTTGCCAGTCCCAATTGTGGCTGTTAAACAAGGACCACCTGTAAGGACAAATGTAGCATCAACACTACCTCATTTCTCTTGGCTGTCAATATCCATTAAAGCCCAATTCTGAGTATCTTGTAGCATAAAAAAAAATCACATTTCAAACCAGCTTCCAGCAGTTGTAAGCACAAAAAAGGAAATCACGTATTTAAGTATAACGATATAAAGCTATGTCTGTGGTTTTAAAATGCTGGAGATAAGACAGGATTCAAATATGTGCGACACCTCAAGTCCTTCAGCCAAGCTCTTTAGTCAAAGAAGCTCAGAGTGTGGCCTCCATGAAACGAATGTAAAGAATCCCCTCTCTGCCTATAAGATTACAAACTGCAGTGATGAAAAGAAAGGATTAAGAGAAAATTAAAACCAAAAACCAAACCCAACAGCAAACAGAATGAATTGAAATAGAAACAGAAACACTTTAGCGAGAAGAGGAGTCACAAAGAGCTGGTCCCTAGGAATGTAGGAGTGGCTTCATCAATGCCATATTTTGTATGCAATGCAATCTAACACTAGATCTATAGTCTATAGTCAATCTATAATCTATGAAAAGATAGAATCAAAACAGTTAATGATTCAAAATTTGGCATAAGGGATGCAACAAAAGAAAGGGAGGGAATTGAAAGCAGAGGAAAATTAAGAAAGAAAATGCACTTATTTCAATTATACCATTTGATTAAATTTACATGTAAATACCCACACATGTGCATGCACGCACACAACACCTAGGGAATGCCCAGCTAATCAAACAAACAAATATATTTAGGAATTGTTTTCCCTGGGTGTTTGGAAAGTACAGGTCAAATAGGGTTGATTTATAGGAAGGGAACTGGGCAAGATGTGAAATAAACACAACCGGAGAAACTGATTGATTTCTCAGATGTGAGGAAGTATGCGGAAGCTGGTTCCTGAGAACTATGGAAGATGCCTCAAGAGACTGGGATTGTGTTTTTAAAAGAATGCCTTCGAAGTTTGAAGCTTGGATGGGCGAAGGAGGGATGACCCAACAGCAGTGAGCAGAGAATCAGGCCTCAGCTGACAGACTCTTCCGTGGCACAGCAATTTTCTAAGTGCAGAGTTTTGTGTGTCTGGTGTGTTTTTAAATGCCTTCAAGTCAGTGTTGACTCCTGGTAACTGCCTGGACTGGTCCCTGCAGTTTTCTTGGCGAGATTTTTGGAAGTGGTTTCCCACTGCCGCCTTCTTCCTAGAGCTGAGAGGGTGTGACTGGCCCCAAGTCTCCCAGCTGGCTTCACGCCTAAGGCAGGACTAGAACTCACAATCTCCCAGTTTCTAGCCTGGTGCCTTAACCACTACTCCAAACCAGTCCCCTTTTTTGCTTTCATAAGCAAGGAATATCTGAATATACAATGAATATTCCATCTGTACTAGAAGTAAGCAGAAAGGCATCCTGGGACATAGCTGATCACAATAGTTCCCAAATGTGGGCCTTACTTGGACACACAGTTGCCCAGCAGCCTCCCTTATGCTAATGATGGGCTGCAAAATAACAGAACCACTTCCTGAGTCTGTTGCAAAGAGGGCCACATAGCTGCTTGTAAATAAGAAAGAGGCCATCATGTTTCAACCTGGCAACGTTACGGAGCCTGGCAAGGGAAAGGGAAGGGTGGTAGCTGAAAGACAGAACCGTGAAGTTGCTTTTCTCATCCCCTCCATTTACTGCATTATGCCAATTGTTTAATTATCAAGCCCGGTGCAACCTAATTGCTATGTTCGTTGAAATCTGTCGGCGGCTAACAGCAGGGGTGGGAAAATTGTCTGTTCCGGGAAAACACGAGAGAGCCATATGCGCAAAAGTAACATTGCTCTCTTCCTCCCCCTCCCCAATCTTCAGTTCAAGCTAAAGCAGAGCACTTGAGAGGACAGGTAACACCAGAACAGCATACTGAAATGAAATGAACACACTCATCTGAAATCCATGGCTTAGCCTCTTGCCTTTGGGTGAGTACCATCTCCTTTGACTTGAGAAGCATGTGAACCCCACAGAGAGAGATGACAGCTAGAACTGTGATTGGCAATCTGGGGTCCCCTGGCTGCTCTGGATCACAACTCCCAGAATTCCTTGCCAGTGGCCATACTAGACAGACTGATGAGAACTGAAGTCTCAAACCTCTGCAGAGCACCAGGCTGCCTGTCTCAGTTAAACAGGTTCACAAATGCAGCCTGTGTTCCATGGAAAACCACCATCTTCCCATGTCCTTTTGGGTGCTGAACAATGTGACCTGTCATATCTATGGTAAGAACATCATACTGTTTGCACTGGAAAATGTGCCCATTTAATATAGTCTGCGATGCATAAGTCCATAAAAGTCATATTCCTGCCAAAAAGAAAAGGAGGGGGGAATTAACCAGCCTGTGAGGGCTTGCTGCAGAGGGTCAGAGACCACCTTCTGCTCAGTCGATGGTCAGTTTGGGTTACCAATCTGGCTTTGGAACTGAATTAGTGGATTTTTAGTGAAAAAAATCCTCCACTGCCTCCCAAAAGACAACAAAGTTTGATTCCTTGATGGCTTGTTCTTTTCAGACAATGGTGAAGAGTTCTAAACTCAAAAGCTTACTTAGTAGGCTTCACATTTTTCTATGAAAAAAATTGTAAACACAGTCCTTTTGTACTTCTACCAGGACATTAACAATGTTGAACAGACAGAAAAGCAGGTAAGAATGCAAGAAAATTAAAAAAAAAAAGAGCTACATTCCAGTGGCTGTGTTCACACAAGTTGCCTGAGCCAGTCACTGAACCCATTTTCAGGGTTTGTACAATACAATGAACCATGAATTAACAAAATGGGCTGGCTCTGCACATTAAGCTAGGCCACAAAATTATTAAAGGTTTAAGTTAAGCAAGCTTAGGGTGTGGCATAAATACAGCTGCTAAGTCTTTAACTATCCCGTGCTGTGTAAGGAGGCCATTTTGGTCTGTCACACATGCACAATACAGCATCAGTATCTCTCTGTTGCTTATTTCCAACAACTCTGCCCCCTCTGCAGAACCCTGCCGTTGCAGCCGAGAGCGACTTGAATTTCCTCTCACAAACAGGAGTCAGGCAATTTTGCAAATGTTAAAACCCCAGCATTGAATTACGGCATTGCCTTTTACTTGTTAAAGTTCTGGGGTTTTTAAGAAACAAAGATTGGTCTGGGAGTGAACGTTGGATGCATCAATCCATCTTGGCTGACCAACAAATGAGAGGTGATGGCCTGGACTATAAAAAAAATGGCAGAGCAGAGAATGAGACTGGCTGGAGGATGCAAGGTGGGAAGTGAGTTTTTGTTTTCCAACTTTAGCTACCAAGAGGCTTCATCCATCTAGAGAGAGATGTTTTCTCTCAGTTGGTAACATCTGCCTCTTCAAGGCTTTCAAACTTGCAAGATCAATATGAGCCCTTTGAGGTAGTCCCGACAGGAAGCACAAACCAGGGGTACTAACGCTACCTTTATTGTGAGGTTGCAGTAACAGAATCTTGCAAGTCTGAAATTTTTTCTCTCTCCTTTACTTTTACTTTCCAGAAAACTGGAGAAGAACCCTTCTGAGATGCTTCCCACACCCCTTCTGCTTCGGTGGGCTGAGATACCTTTTGCATGTCGGTTGTCTAGTCTGCAGCTCTTCCTCCTGTCACCCAAGGTCATTCCCACATACCATTACATGTGGAGGCATTATCAACTAATCCAATAAAAATATGTTATCATCCTCATCAATTATAATGATTAATTTTTAATTTTCATCAGCATGATCTCTCCAGGACAGCTCTGTCTTTATCATCTTCCGGAATTATTTTAAAGGAAAGGCCAATGTAATCTCTAAGGGGAGACTGCAAATATACAAAACTGGGGCCATAATTAAAAAGCAGGGCCTCTTAGCTCAAGCCTGCTTGCATCATGGAAGTGGGGAATATCCAACAGCCTGTCAGCCCGAGGTAGAGCAGACTTGAACACCAAAGTTATGAATACTATAACTACTTTTGTGGTACAGATACTCCTCGGTTAACAACAATAATTGGGACTGGAATTTCCATCGCTAAGCGTGATGTCATGTGACTACATCACTTAGTGACAGCAATCCGGGTACTGCCAGTTGCTGTTGTTAACCAAACCCCACCTGGTCGTTAGGCAAGGACTCATCTGATCCAAGCCATTCCCAGCTTGGTCCCTCCTAGCCTCAATAAGGTAAGAGACTGCCTCCTCTTCAACTACCCCCACACCTATCTCCTGCCCAGATCTCTGCCCTTTTGGCTGTCCTGCACTCTGATCTCCCTGCTTCAAAGCCTTGTGAGAAAGCCACACATGATTTGGACAAGGCAGTGTGTGGCTTTGGGAAAAAGGCCTGGCAGGGCCAGCAGCTGCCTCGTGAAGGGCCAGGTCAGGCACGCCTTGTCAGCAGTGGGAGGAAGATGGTGAAGGTCAGCTGGGGGCAGCAAGGCCAGTGGAGTGCAGGGTGGCCAAAAGGGCAGAAATTGAGGGGGAATAGGTGGGTGGGGGGAGTTGAAGTGCAGGCAGGCTGCCAAGTGCCCAAATTTTGATCATGTGATTGTGGGGACATTGCAACGGCTGTAATTTCTGGGACTGGGCATAACTACCATTTGTTCAGCACTGCCGTAACTTCGAACAGTCGCTGAAGGAATGGCCATTAACCAAGGACTACCTGTCAGTTACAGTAACAGAATCTTGCAACCCTGAATGTGCCTTCCCTCTCCCTGCCTTTCTCCTAAAGAGAACTAGGGAGGGTCAAGTCTGAGACATTTTCTCAAATTCCATTCCTGTTCTGGACTCAGATTTGTCTTATCTGACCATTGCCTTGGCTGTGGCTCTTCCTCCTGTCCCTCCAGGTTATTCTCACATCCCCGTTACATAGCCTCTCCCAGCATGATTGAACAGGATGGGTCAATTTAGATAGGAGAAGGCACTCCAGGAAGAACCTAGGGTACAGGCCATTGAGGGCTTTAAGGGTCAAACACAGCCCTTTGAATTGCACCCAGAAACTTATTGGCTGCAATTCAGGGGCTGCCACACTGATGTCACATGCTCCTGGTGGTCAGCCCTTGCCAGCAAGTGAGTCATCACATTTTGCAACCAGTTTATTTATTTCAAGCCTGCCCAATAATCAAAGGCAGAGCTGTGTGGTTTCATCATTTTCTTTCCTTCTTTTTTAATATAATTTTTATTAAGAATTTTGATTTCAGTAGTAAAAACTAATATAAATTAAACATAGAGAGAGCAAAGAGAATAGAAAAAAAGAATAAAAAGTGCAGGAAAAAAGAAAAAGAAAGAAGAAAAAGAAAAGAAATATATAAAGAAGTGACTTCCAATCTTCATCACAAGTATAAATTTAGTAACTCTTCACCCCCTGTAAGGTTACAAACAGGTATCTCTTCATCCCATATCCCATCCCTTATC